AAATGGAAAGGTCAAGATCCATCCTTGTACCAAGTTAATGCAAACATCTCTGTAATGACTTATTCAAGATTCTACTAGGCCCGTTCTGCCAGATCACCCACTTTTGTCACTTAACCATCCAGCTGTAGGAACTTGGATCTTCAGGCTTCCCTGAGGATCACAATTTTTTATCCTTTTGCTCATTTAAAGAGAGATCGATGGGCCACCCCATTTTTACTCTGCTCCCAAGTGTGGCACTGCGGGCATCAAGTGCAGCGCTTCTCAAACCTGAGTGTGCACCAAGAGGTCTGCAAAACACAGGTTGCTGGGGCCCACCCCAGACTTTCTGATTCAGTGAGCCAAGAATCTGCATTTCTACCACATTTCCAGGTGATGCTTCAGCTGCTGGCCAGGGGACCACACTTTGAGAATCACTAGGCTAGAGTAGTTAGGTGCAGGATTTGGGCTCAGCTTCTGAGTTCCCAGCTCTGCTCCCTCATAGCTGTGCTACTTTGGGCCAATGCTGCCTCTTCTGTCAACTTGGATTAATCATAGTCCCTACCTCTTAGGTAAGCCTGGAGAGGGTTGAATGGTTAACATATGTAAACTATGTGCCTGGTGTTTAGCAAGTACTCAATAAAATATGGGTAGCAAAAAAAAGGCACCATTTCCATGTTCAGTTCAGGCTTTCCTGTTGGCCGTGTGGCTTGGAGGACATTATCTCCTCTTAGTTCCCATTCTGTATTAAGAGGGTAATGATAACACACTTTACATTCCACACTAGATGCTCTGAGAGGCATATGGAATCTGTGAGTGCACTTTGCAAATGCACCATATAAACACTTGCAGCTAAATATTTTGGGAAGAACATGAACTTGAAGTAGGAGAGACCTGGCCCAACATACCAGCTTAAGTAGGCACATCTCCACCTCTTTGAGCCTTGGTTTCCCAATTTTTTTAAATGAAGAAATAGGGCTTCCAAGGAGCTGGGAAATATCTGAGAGCTCCTTGCCTGAGGTCTGTACCTCACTCAGTACCCAGGTCTCAGGATTTCACATGAGGGTCAGTGCTGGCCTTGCCTAGGCCCCTCCCACAGATCAGCTATGGAGCAGGAGCCTTAACAGAGACCCCTCCAACTTGAAGCCTAAACTGACTCACACACTGGCCAGCCTCCTCCTGCAGACTGGGGAACCCTGGGATTGTGATGAGGACCCAGAGCCCATGCCCAGCAGGCCCCCAGTAAACACTCTCCTTCTGGCATAAGTCCTTTAGCCCCTCCCAGGCTGCCTCCAAACATCTTGCCTCTGGGAGCCATCAACTCTAGAAGTGAATTCTTCGCAGCCCTAAGAGGTTTCACAGCAATTGTATTCTCCAGGAGAGAGGTGGAACAGCCCCTCCCTTCTCCAGGAGGGGAGGGTGCAGTCAGAGGCCTGTTTAATTTAATTTAACGCACTGTGGCTTGCCAGGTTGCCCCTGGTAACAGCTTCAGCTACTGCTTCAGTCAAAACCAGAAAGATTTTTAAAGAGACAGCCCATTTTAGGGCCAGAATTGCACAGTACACTGAACGGCTTCCACCAGCTCCATCACAGGGAGAGAGAATTAAAGTTTAGGCATAGCAAAGCCTCAGACTAGATGTTTACACCATTAACTTCATTCTGTATCTGCAACCCCATAAGCCCTCCTGCACATGTCACTCTCAAGTGCGATCTGAGGAGGGGCTACATTTGTGATTTTTCGTAGAGAGAGCTAGCTACTTTCCTGTAAATCTATCCTTGCCTTCAAGTTGAAGGGGAGAAAAGTGTTCACTCTTAGAATCTGAGTTACCCCTGCAATTCAGGCATAGCGCCACTAGGAGGTAGGCTTGCTTATGTAATGCAAACCATAACCAGGCTCTTGAATTTCTCAGGAGTATCAGAGTGGTAGGGAAACCACTGGGTTTTAAGCTCTGATACTGATTAGGATATGACCATGGGTAAGCTGCTTCACCTGTATGGTCTCAATGTCCTCAGAAATTGGTTGACATAACTGAGTGCTGTGCACAAGGCTGGCAGCTAGCATTGTGAAGGCATGACTTTAGTTCCCAGCTCCATCAGGTACGACTTGTGGTTTGAGCACATAACTTAAATTCTTGTAGCATGAATACCAAGTGACAATAGCTAGGAACCAGTGAGAGCCCTGAGCATACCACATTCCTCTCCAACACCTGGGACCTGTGGAGACAAGAAGGGTGCCTGGGACCACAAGGATCTGAGGCCCTAGGAGTACATAGGGTGAAGCAGGATGCCTCTGGACTCCTGGGCCTGAGACTTCACTGCCCCAAGGGAACTTAATAGGTCACAGTGGAAAGAGTGGCCTCCTGGGCACCCTAACCCCACTCAGCTCTAACCTAGGCCAGGAGAAAGGGCAGCCAGGCACAGTGCTCACAATGCCTGCAAGGCCTATATTATTATTCCCCTTTGCAGATAAGGACACAGCCTCTGCAGGGTAACTCACCCACCCCAGGACACCCACCTCACATGGCCAGGCCTATTGGCCACCCAAGCTTCTGCTCTTTGCAGCACTATACCTGCTCCTGCTATGGCCACACCTCCTCATCAGAAGTCTGAAAGCGGAAGCAGGTTGTGTTTCTCCCCATCATAACCCAGTTTGGCCAGCCTCAAAGTGGGTATCAAATCAGAAGTCATGAGATCATACCTACAGGCAGCCAGGGAGCCTGAGGCACACATGCCTTCGGTCCTTCACATGGTCAGGCACCGACACTAATTATGTCCAGGTTTTTGGCCAGCTTGGCCTATAGTAGTTGTTCCATGAATCTGAGTCCTACTTCCTATGTATGTAGAGCAGCTTCTCTCTGACAGCCCTGTTCCCAGCTAAAGCCCATACATATACTCCCACCTCAGTAATAGGATTACACTCCAAGGTAACATGACTAAAAACTCATTGGACCTTGGCACTCCCCAGCTAAGCCCTTCTATGGCTCCTCATTGCCCCACAGATGAGTGTCAGGTCCTGAGCCTCGCACTCAGGGGCCCCACCTGATATGCCCCTGCTCATCCACCCCCCATCCTTACCACCTTACCACAGGGGGTCCAGTCATTTGGGGCTGCATGCAGCCTGCAGCACACCAAGCTCAAGTGAGCTTTGGCATGATGTCCCCTCCATCGAATGCCTTTCTCACGGTATCCACCTGGGTGGTTCCCACTTTTTCTTGAGAACTGTACTCCAGTAAGTCCTCCTCCGGAAGTTTTGGGGGTACTCCTGCATCATGTAGGAAACTTCTTTTTATATCCCAGGTGTTGCTTCTGCTCTAATTGTGTCTTTGGTCTGGCTTTCCCACCAGATTGGGAGATACTAAAGCTGTCTCTCCTCTCCTGTCCCCATTGCCCTGCTGGGCCACAAAGAGAAGACACTTGGTGAAGAGTGGCTAGGACATGTGACCAGTGGGGCCTCCTCTGGGTGATATGGCTTGGGCTCTGGCTCAAGACCCTGCCTGATGGGCAGTCACATCATTCCATAGGATCTGAATCACAGGTCCTCCATTTTCTCATCCTCTCTTCAAGTTCATCCACAGCCTTTCCATAAGCAACCACAACATAACTTGCCAGTGTTAGCGACTCCTATACCCCATTCACACACACCCGGCTCCATGCTCACCAATCATGCCCACACATCTCCATGGTGAGTCCTTCCTCTGGAATGCTCTCACTGCCCTCCAACCTACACTCTGAAATACCATGACTATTCAAGACCCACTTTACAGACCATCCTCTCTGAGACCTGAGTCTTCTGGCTGGGAGTGGCATCTCCATCCTATGGCATTTGTCTGCATCATTCTCATGGCCTTGATTAAACTTCACCTCTTACTGTAGTTATTGGCACCCTGTGTGGTGAGAGAAGCATGGACTTTGGAGCCTAACAAAGGGGGTTCAAATCCCAGCTCTGACACTTGCACGCTGTGTGACCTTGGGCAAGTCACTTTACCTCTCTGAGCTTCAACATGTTCCTCTGTAAAATGGTGATGACATCTACCTTGTAGGTTATTGTGAGATTGAGATGATGGATGTCAGGATCCTGGCACATGGCAAACACTCAGTCAAGTCCTGTTATTTATGCCTGGGTCTGCTTCCCTAGCCAGACTGTGAGCCCATTTAGGACCAGGTGCAAATCCCATTCAGTCCTACATTCCCATTGCACCTGACACCAAGCCTCACATTATAGATGCCCAGAAATCCTGGCTGGACTGAATGCATTCACCCTGGCTGCTGGGAGTGGGAGTGGAAGGATGGTGAGGGTCCTGAGCTGAGGAGGCCACAGTGGGTTGGGGGTGGTGAATGCAGAATGTAGCCTAGAAATCCAGAACAGGAGATGAATGCAGAGGGAGGGGCTGGAGGCTGAAGCAGAGCTGCTGATATGCACTGGGGGTTTTATTGGTTTTCATTAAAATTCCTTCCTGAGGCAGGAGGAGCTACTCCCATAAATAACAGCATAAATATTTTATTTGGTGCCCAAGTCAATCTAAATGCATGGCAAGGTTGGTAAGAATAACAATGGGAGAGAAGCTCAGGGGTCCCAGCCTTCAGCTGGACTCACCCAACATGCCCAAAGGGGCTTTCCTCAATGGAGGCTGAGGGATGGCACCAAAGAGGAGAAGCAGGCGGACAGTGGGGGAGAGAGAAGGTGACCACTGGTGTGTGGGACCTGGGGTGGGAGGACCCAGGGGACAGGTGGGGGAGCCCAGGGGAGGGGAATTCAGCTTGGAAAACAAGATGGGAAGGGAGGAAATGTATTCCACACTTGCTCTGTGATGGGCACCTTACTTGGGGCATTCACACAGCTTAACTCATCAAATCCTGTGATCAGAGAAGTAAAGTGACTTGCCCAAGGTCACCCAGCCAGCCAGTGGCAGGGTGATCAAGGTTGTATTTGCTGCTTCTTGAGGTTCCAAGAAGGCATGGGAATCCATGAACAATGGCCTGAGTATCTCAATAACAGCAGTGTGGGCTGTTCTCTGCTTTCCTAGATCCCAAAGGAGGAGAAAAGGGGCTGGTACTTCACCATGGCAACGCTCTTCATCAGGTCAGGCTGGGGAGCAGGGGGTGGGATGATGGGGAGGGAGAGAAGGAGAGGTGTGGTCTGGGACCCAGGGGAGAGGTGGCTGAGCCATTTCCATGACAAGGGCTCCCCAAGTTTCCCTTCCTGCCCTTGGCCTGGGGAGGCCTCACAGCACACTAGGGCACCTGGGAGGCGATGCTGACCGACCCCATCCTCTTCTGGGCCATAGGCTGGATGGTATCTTGCTGGAGCTGGGCAGCGAGGAACAGAAGAGGCTGCCTGCCTTCAACCGCACGCTGGCCCTGCTCCGGCAGGTTGTCAAGTCCTCGGACCCGCACCACCGAGGTAAGGGTGCAGGGATGGTGGGAGAGCAGCCTCTGCCTGGCTCTCCCTGTACCCATCTGTCGGCATCCTCACCTCTAGCTCTACCTCCTAGTCTTGGACCATGTTTGCCTCTCTCCCTAACCCTCTGTCCTGTGTACTTGTTTGTTCATCTCAAGCTGCTCACACACCTTGCATAGGTAAATGGCCCAGCTGCAAAGCACTACATCTGTATGTTGGCAGGTGTGTATCTCATGACCTAGAGTGTCAGAGACAGTTTTTCCCGATTTCAGCCCCTTATCCCCACTTCATGGTCATGGGAATCAAGGCTTATTTGGAGAGGAGTCATTTTTCACAGGGCACGTGGCTAAAACACTGATCAGAGCCACAGAGCTACAGAAGAACTGGAGTCAGAAGAGAGCTCTCCAGTGAGGCCTCTAGGGACACATGAAACACAGACTGGGCACTGACATATGTATCCCCCCATCCCCTGTATCTCTCGGGCCCTGGGGGGCCATTGGTGTCTTTATGCCACTGAGCCTCCCTTTGTCCTCCTGGGGGCTGACACCTCCCCTCCTCAAGGCTCCCCACCACACCCCACCCCACTGCTTCCTAGAGACCTGTCTCCCACTCTTCACCCCCAGCTCTGGCCTGGTGCTACCTCGGAATGCTGCTGGAGAGGAAGGATACCTTCTCCACCACCCCCATAGGCGTCCACGACTGCGGGTACTCGGGGACCGACCCCCTGGACTGCTTTGGCAAGGTACATGCCCCAGCCACACCCAGTCTCCAAAATGGGCCAGAGCCTGTTGCCCAGCTTCCTTCCCTAAAACCTGCTCCTTCTCGGGTGTGTTACTCCCTGATCCCCTGTCATGTAGCCCACTCAGGAAATGCCCTTATTCCAGGCCTTTCTCTCCTTCCTGTCTTCATTCCAAACAAGTTTTCCTTGCATGATTCCTCTTTGTCTAAGAATCAGACCTTCCATGCCCAGTCTGGCCCCAGCCCATTTCTCCAGTCTTGTGCTCTAAGCAATTCACCTTTTCCCTGACACACCCTCAGACTGTTCCCCTTCAGGCCTTGGTTCTTGTTGACCCTCCATCCCCATCCCCAGTGACATAGTGGAAAGAAGATGGGCTTAGCTGGGGTCTCATGCCAACTCTGCCCACAAGCCAAGTGACCTAAGGCAAATCATTTCTACCTCTGAGCCTCCTTATCTATTAATTTTGTGATCCGCCTTCAGTGTTATTGAGCTACTCAAAGGAAGTAGTAGATAAAACTGTTTACTGTAAACTGTAAACGCAGTTCAAGCTTTGTCCTTGGCACCTCATCTATGTGACAGTGGCCCCACTTCACTCAGCTTTGAAGTCTTCCCAGGAGACCACAGACCCATGGTGGTCATTTACCTGTGCATTCAACACAGTGCCCTGCAGGGGGCACATCCTTCACGTTTGCTGGTGGGTAGATGAATGAGCACTTTCTTGATGAGAGATCTTAGAACAGAGCAGAGCATGTACACTGGTTCCTGTCCAATTTAATAAACACTGCCTTCGCCTGCCTTGAGAGCCGACTCTGCTGTGGCACAGAGGTGAACAGACGGGGCCCCTGCCCTGCAAGAGTTCACTATCTCAGAGGCAGCAAGAAACAGGACAGGCAACAGTAAGTAACAATACAGGGGGTGAATGCTGCGGCCCAGATAGAAACACTGCCCTGGGGAGGCATGGGGAAGGTGGAGGCTGATTCTAGCCCCTCCTCCCACCTGCCCTGGGAAAACAGGGGAACGCACACTGGATGTGTCTGAGCAAGAGGGGTTTGCCTGGGGCCTGGAGGGAGTCACTGGACATAAGAACATGGTGAAGAGCATGGCACTGAACCAGGCTCTTGTGAGTTGAGTGCTGCTGAGTTGTACCCATGATATGACTGAAGTTACTGGCAGGTGAATATAGGGAATAAAAACATTGCAGTGACATGGCTGTATCCAGGGACGGGGTTTCTACAGGTCAGGCACTATTCAGCCAGTTCTGGCAAACAACCAGACAGATAAAGAGTTTGCTCTTACCCTTCTCTGACCTAGGCCATCGAGATTGCCAAGGACCAACCCCCCATCCTGAATCGCCTGGCCAAAATCTTCCACTTCCTAGGAAAACAGGATATGGCCATTGGAACCTGCAACATGGCCCTGGATGTCCTACGAGATCCAGAGCTCAACCAGCAGGCGTACTGCACAAGGGCCAAGGTTAGTCAACCTGCAGCTCCACCTGGTCCTGCCATCGGAATCAGGTAACAAGGGCCAGGGCCCAGGGCCTACTGCCATAGCCCAAACGTCTCGGAGCCTTCATGGTGGAAAAAAGCTGGGAGTCACTGTGGCACACTGTCTGTGTTCTGTAAGACTGTTGAGTGAAGGAATGAAGGTGCCTCCAACCCACTGCAGCCGATGACCTTCTACAATGACCTGGACTTCCAGCCTCTTCTTGATTAGCACTGAGTATAGTCAGACTGGCCTGGATTGAAGTCTGGCCTCTCCACTTACCACCTGTGAATGGAGTCAAGCCACTTCCCCTCCAAACCTCTGTTGCCAAAAATGTAAGACGTGGAGAATAACACCTGTCTTAAAAGGTTATTAGAAGACTAAGTGAAATAGCAGCTAAAGCATTGTGCCTGGAGCATGGGAGGTGCTTTAAAGGGCAGTAGGGTCTACTAGAGGTAGTCTATGGAGCAGATCAGAGCTCTGACTCTGAACACAGCTAAGTCCCAGAGCATCACTTACATGCTGTGGAACCATAGACAAAATTGTCTTGCCCAAACTCTGAGCCTCAGTTTCCTCATCTGTACACTGGAGATGATCTTTATCTACCTTATAGAGTTATGAGAAGGTAATTCCACATATAAAACTCAGTCTCTGAGCACATATATAGTAAGAGCTTGTAAGTGATTGATTGCTATTATTAGGTGTATTTTTAACTGATACACTTTCTCTTGAGACAGTCCACTACATGGTCATTCAGCTCTGAAAAGCGCAAATGTAGCCGAGAGCTCTCCCCTCTGGCTTCCCCCACTGGTCCCACATCTGCCCACAGACCCCATCTGCTTGGGGACGGGGACCTGGAAGTCCCAGTTAACCTTGCTCCAGGCTCCCATGCCTGTCCCATGCCTGTCTTCTCCACTACCTTTCACTCCCCTGGGCTTGGTCTCAAAGCCATAATAATTTGCCAGCAGTTATTGGGCAGGAAATCCATTCATTGTAGCTGATGTGGTTATTATCGATACTAATGATATTAATCATAATAGTAAATAAAACATTTCTGTAACACTCTGTATTTCACTAACATTTTCATGTTCAGTGTCTGACTTAACCTCCACAAGAGTCCCGTGAGAGAGGCCAGATGTGTGTCATTCTACAAAAGAGGCACCAGAGCTCTGCAAAGGACCTTCCCCAAGGTCCTGCCTTCTGTTAGTGGGAATCCAAACTTTACTCTCCTCACCCTATGGCCAGCCTGCGTCTTACCCTGAGCTCCAAGGGTCACATTACTACTCAGATGCCCAGACTAGCACCAGGATGGGGGCAGGGGAGGAGGAGGAGGAACAGAAGGGAAGGGCACTCATTATCTGTGTAAAGGCCCCAGTCTGTGCTATGACCTATAAGGCCCTACCTGGCCCATTACCTCCGTTGCCCACCCCTCACTCAGCTCCCTCTCTCCCAGCCACACTGACCCCCTTGCTGTTCTTGGGGTCTCTGCCAAGAAGGCTTATCTCCCAATTATCCACATGTCTTCTTTCCTCAGCTTCTAGCACCATCTTAGTGAAAATATATCTTGCCAAATTTTATGTCCATTTTTCTTGGTTTACTCTTTCTTCTTATTAGCATTTATCACCTTTAACATACTATTTGCTTATATACCATGTTTATTGTCTCTCTGTCCCATACTAAATAAAAGCTCCACGAGGGCAAGGGATTTTGTCATTTGCTCTCTACTGTATCCCTGGTGCCTGGAACAGTACCTGGCACAAAGCAGGCTCTTGATGAATATGAGTGAATGAACAGAGCACCTACTATATGCTCTGTCCTGGCTAGAATATGTTCTTACAATTGTCATGGTACCTCTTCAAGGAAGATATTAGTGTATTAATTTTTCAGATATGTAAAATAAGGCTCACAGAGGTTGAACAACTTCCCCCAGCACACTAATAAGGGGCAAGAGCTGGAATTCAGCCAAGTCTAACTCTCTCCAAGCCAGAGCTCTCCCTTCCAGCACCACATGATGCTATCTTAGAACTGGAACATACCTAGTTGGCTCTAAAGCATTAACACATACAGTAACAATGCTCCCCTTTTCCTTACTTCTTCCTTCACTCCTCCCCACCCCTCCTGACCTTTAGTTTCTAAAGGCTCCAAGTGTGGGAAAAGAAGAGGAAGAGGGAATGAAAGCAAAGGTTCAGGAATCATTTGTAATTTGATGCTTACAAATTGATGCTTAGGCCCAGAAAGGGTAGTGGCTATCCCACGTTGGCACAGAGCTTTCTACTGCACTATGGAACCACCCTGAGTTGCTACTGAGAAAAAGGTTGGCATTGTCTAGGGCAGAAAGGAAGGTGGGGGCCCTTTCTCGGAGCATCTTTCCTAAACTGACTCTCTGTGGGCAGATCCACATCAGAGCCTACCTTCACGACCTGGAACGAGCCAAGATGGGGCTCGGGGGCATGCCTGACAGGAGCCACCTGGCCTGTGCCAAGGCTGACCTAGAGGAAGTGGTCAAGGTGTGCCCAGGCCTCAAGACCTACCTGGACATTGGCCAGGTAAGGCAGCTTCTTGGCTTGGGTAGCCAATGGCTTACTAAAAACCTATTTACTGTCTGCCAGAGCAGGCCTGGGCACAAGACATGGCGAGGAGTATGGGGCCTCTTACTGCTCGGTAACAGTAACTATACCGCCCAGGGCGTAGTGAGGCATGTATGAGCTACTGCGTGTACAGCATTTAGAACAAGGCCTTGCTCTTTCTAATCACTCAGAAAGTGTGGACTATTATTCTTTATCCAGAATTGCCTTCTCTGCGTAGGAAAATTACCAAGAGATGACATGGTAATTCTGCTGTGAGAAAACTGAGGCCCCAGGATTGCCTCGATCAAGGTTATATGGCCAAGGGGGCGGGGGAGGGCGCTGTAACTGGAATGGGAGTCCTGTCCCTCCTTTCCCAGGGAACAGAGACAAATTCTGCGATGAATAATTGTTGAAGGAGGGAGGGTAGGAATAGATGATGGATGGCATTTTTAAAAAAGCAAATGTGAGAAGGGGTGAGCAGGGAGCAGCGACGGTGGGGATAAAGACTCACCCCGCGCCCCCACCCCAGGTCTACTACTACATGGGCGTGGACGCGGTGCAGGAGCTGCTGGCGGTGGACGAGGCGGCGCTGAACCAGGCGCTGGTCTTCCTGGCCAAGGCCGGCGAGTCGGAGCTGGGCGCCACGCTGCCCGAGCTGCAGCTGCTGCGCGGCAAGTGCCTGCGCATCAAGGGCGAGGAGGCCAACGCGGCGGCCTGCTTCAAGCGCGCGGTGGAGCTGGACGACGCGGGCTCCAGCCACACCGAGGGCTTCGGCTGCCTGCTCGAGGCGCTGCTGGCGCAGTGGAGCCAGGCGCAGCTGAGCGACGGCGAGTTGGGCCGCGAGGTGGACGCGTGGCTGCGCCGCGCCCAAGGCAAGTACCCAGCGGCGCGCCTGCGCCAGGAGCTGCAACGCGTGTGGCGCTGCAACACCGGCGAGGTGCTGGGGCTGGCCCGGGCCTTGGTGACCCAGGGCCGGCCGGCACTAGTGCGCCTGCTCTTCGAGACCATGGAGCGCGAGGGCGAGGGTGCGAGCACGCCGCGCGGCCGCCGTGCGTTCTCCTTCTGAGGGACCGCGAGGCCCAGTCCTGTCGAGGCCCGGCCTGAGGCCCCGCCTACAGCTGATTGGCCCCCGTCTGGGCGCTAGACTGTCCCGCCCTGCCGTAGGCCGGCGCTTGGGTCGTGCCGGTCAGATTCTCTGGTGAATTGGAAGGGAGACGTTGAAGCACTAGAGCAATTTGACGCGTCCACGAAGGCAGAAGGACCTGATTAAGAAAAGCAAGGGAGACTGGGAGTAGACGTGAGAGCCGCTGGGAAACTGCCAACTGAAGGACAGAACTGTACAATATATGCAAAATAATTAGGTGGCTGCGAGTATCTTAAGAGATCCAGAAGATAATTGCCTCCTTTTTGGCGGCTTTCTAGTGTCTGTGCCCAATCCCTGAACAATGCTATATCCTTATAATAATGGCTCCTTAAGTTAACTGGAGTGGGTGTCAGGTCCTGCAGCCCCCAAAGCCTTGGCTAGAGCAGAAGGCAAAGCTGCGCGGTGAGCAGGTAAAGGGCAGGGCGGTGTTACACACCTGGCTGCTTCAGGCTCTTTATTACCTGTGTAGTGGTCTTCCAGCAGTCCTCATCCTTGGTCAGCTTGGTCTGAAAGGCCCCCAAGCGCCCACTGCAATAAAGCCCAAACTAGAAACTTAGTTTGACTTCCCTGTTCTTGGGGGATCCTAGGCCCCCCACCCCCAATCAGGAAGTGCCATGTGCACCCAATCTTGAACTTTTTACAAGAGAGTGAAGAAAATCTTAGAAGTTTACACACTTGGAATCAGAGTCAAGAATATTAGATGCAGACTTTTATTATCAAAGACTTAGGCTCTGATTGCCAGCAAATCTTAGAATGGCCAAGCTGGATTCTTGTGGCCCTACCTACAAGACCTGATTTAACCTAAAATTACAAATTAAGTTTTTGCCAGACTCCAGGAACACTAGTTGTACAAAGCTGCAATGGCAAGACCTGCACAATGGTTTGTGATACATTTTGCATTTTTTTCCCTCTATTTAAAGAGTTACACTCTTTACTGTTCTCTAGACTTGATGCTAGGGATAGGCCAGTCCCCCTGCCTTGCTTTTCACATCTCCAGTGACAGCTGGAGAGCGGACTGAGAGGTGCGGTCCTTAGAGAACATGCACTCCAATGCTCTCTTGCGGATGGGGAGACTGAGAGCCCTAGAAGGGACATGGCTTTCCCCAAGTCACGCTGCCTAACCTCCCTACAGGTGTGCCTCAGACTATCAGTGTTTTTCAGGTTTGGAAAAATACTAATAAACTGATCAACACTAAAGCCTTCAGTGTTTATGTGTTAAGGGTTTTTGTGTCACCTGTCACATGGGGCAGTCTGATAACCATTGAGATGATGCTCTGACACAAATGGTGTTTCAGGGATCCGTGAAACCTGGATGCGAGGCCACCCTAAGGCCCCTGAATTCTACCTCATGGCCCATCATGGCTCACCACTTTGGGTGGTGACCTTCTCCCCCTCCTTCCTTCCTCTCACCTCCACTGCAGCAGAGTCCTGCAGAAGGCTCAACAGTAGGTGGCACACACAGCCCTGTCTACTTCTCCCTCCATCCTTTCTCCACTACACCTGTGATCTGGAACCTTCTCTGGGACGGGAACCCATCTCTTTCTTCTCCTTCTTCAAACAAGCAAAGTAACTTCAAAGCAGTTGGCTGGCCAAATCAGGAAGTCAGTGAAGTTTGTCTGTTTCCCTTGCTTTTCCTGTCCCCAAAGTCATGCATTTCTCCCTCTGTTGCCTCCTCTTCCTGTCAGACCTTTTTAATAAACTTCCTTTCTGATAATCTCATTTATACTAATTTTATAAATGACTAGCAGCCATCCACTAGAGCATCTCTCAGGAGCTATCTGCAACTGGCCAAAAGCCAAAAAAGACAAAGGAAACCCCATTTCTGGGACTGCTGCCTACTTGCAAGGGACTTCATTCATGTAAATTCATCAGATTCCTCACAAACCCTGAAAAGCAGGCATCCTCATCCTTATATTACAGACAAGGATGCTGAGACACAGAACAAGGTCATGGGTAAGGATGGGAAGATCCAGGATTTGAAACAAACCTACCTTACTGCCCCGTGGAACACAGCACTTCCTGGGGGATGTGTCATCTGTGGACCAGAGTTGGGCCTGTGATCGCCAACACAGCCTGTCACTCTACCCTGTTCCCTCCCCAAAGTGCTCCTAAACTACCTTACTCCTGTGCCTTTGTACAGCCTCTGCTGGCTTTTTTCCTATAATTTCTATCCCAAGTGCTCAGCTCAAAGGTGCCTCCTCCAAGAAGTCTTGCCAAATCCTTCCAGCTTTCATTAATTAACCCTTTTACACACAGATTGCTCTCAGGGCACTGTGTCCCTCTGTGTTATATTGATTCCCTTCTCCTTGGGTCATAACTACGCCAACATGTCTGTTGCACCCACTCGACACTTTACAGTAGGAACCATTTCTGATTCAGACCCATGGCCCTGCATTGAGCTTGACACATAAGTTTTGGTTGTTGAACTGCAAAAACTCACATCAGTGACAGGGCTACCTCAGTTTCAAATGGGTGACTCCATCACCAGGTCCACAAGGGCTGAGATGGGGGCCAGGTCTGCAGCCCAAGGACCTTTAAGGCCTAGAGCTCAGCCAAAAAGCATGCACTTGCTTTCCATTTCTGCTCCAGCCTTAGGCCAGTTCTGCAGTTGAGAAACTGAGGCCCAGATTGGGAAACTGAGGTAAAAGAGCAGGACTTGACTAAGGCCAGGCAATGGACGGATGACAGTCACACATCTGAACCCCACCTCCAGGGTCATGGGCCAGTGCTCCCTGCCTTTTCAGGGCTGCCTCCTCTTCCAGGTTTACTTCCGTCAAATCCAGGAGGATCACGGGCTTTCCATTCATTCACTCAGATACAGGGCACTAGCTAAGTGGTGGCCCCTAGCACCAAGTCTGGGGCTGCAGTGGAGAACAAAATAGACCCCGCCCTTACCTCCAGGGAGCTCACAGTCCACAACCATACAAAGCAGGTTATCTAGGGCCTGTGGGCCTCAGTGGGGACTCTAGAAGACCAGTGGGAAGCTATCGAAGGTTTCAGCTAGCAGAGCCGGTTACTCCAGCCCTATGCACCATACTCATCTTGTGTTAGTGGCCTTCCCCCAGCCCAGTGGGGAGGAGAGGGTGGCTGCCCCTGGGGCTTGGGGCATGGCCCCTTGGCCATACCTGTTCAGCAAGCCACTGCGAAGGCCAGGCCTGGAAGTACCCTAAAACTGTAGCTCTGGCTGGCAGGAGGAGGCTAGTGGGTGGGCAATCTTTATCTAATTATAGTTTCGAGGGCTATGGAATGTCCTTGTTCCCCAGGGAGCTGGGCGGACAACTGTCTGTCAGGCAACTAAAGCAGGAGTTCCTTAGGGGAGCACGGCAGAGCAAAAACCTTAATGACCCCATAATTGAAATAATGAAGATGAATCACACCTTATGCTGCCTGCCCACTCCTTCCTGTGGGTCTAGCAGCCAACATCAGGCAGCTAGGAACTCCTGTGTAGATTATGTGAACAAGACATGTTAAAGATCATGGAAATGGGTGAGATTTTTTGGCTATAGGTTTCTAGAATTTCAGTGTTGGAAAGAACCTTACTCGTCTCTTCCAGCTCTCCATCTATACCAAAACTCCTCTCAACAGTAGTGTTCTGAAAAGAGTGTGTAAATCACTTGCAACGCTCTGACAGACACACAACTCACTGTCTCTTCAAGGAACCAATCCATTTTCAACAGGACTGAGTCTTCTGAGCATGTCCTTCTATTGAGCTGAAATCTTCTATTATTTATATCTCCTGATTCAAGTTCACCTCCTGGGGCCACACAGAAGAGACCTTAATAAGCGGAGCGACATTGAACAAGTCACTTCCCTTGGCCCCCATTCCCTTCTGTTCTTGCCCTATTGTGGGGTTTGAGTTGTTCCAGGGGGCTGGCTAGCACCAGCAGCCAGGCGGAGCTCTGACATGGCCTCCAACTGCCAGCACCCAGCCTGGAGCCTGCAGAGAGCAGGTCCTAGCAGCTGGAAGTGGACAGAACAGGGCTTCTCCCCAGCCCTAATCAGGCCCCAAGAGAGCATCCTGTGTGGATGATGGTGGCTGGATGCCAAATGAAGTGAAATATCTCCTTTTCTCAGGCTGCTAACTTTTTTTCTTGTTTAAGGAAGGGGAGGATAATGACATTTAGCACTTTACAACTCAGCAGTAAAATGAGCAGATGGAAACAGATCCCCAGCATTGTGGGCACACTTCCAGCGAGAAACCCTCCCAGCTCCAGTTCTGTCTCTGTGGGGCCAAAGTCATCGGCAAGCCTTGCTGATGGAGTTCGGGGGCTCCCTCACAGCCAGCTCCTCTTCCTGCTGCTGCTCCTCCCCACAGACAGCCACTCCAGGCTGCCCCCACTTTCCACTGCTTGCCTCTGCTCACCCTGTTATGCTTCCCTGGAGCACCTTTCCTACCTCCCAGGTCTGGGTGGAATACAGTCTGTCTAATCTTGACCTGAGGAGGAGGGGAGGACAGGGTGGTTCCTGGCAAGGCAGCAGGGAGCATAAACTCCTGCGGAGCCATGGAAAAGCACCAGCTGGCCACAGAAGAACGATATGACTAGCAGGGAGTGTTCCCCCAGGGAGGTCAAAGAAAATCATCACCAGCATTCTCATCATCAAAACTATTTACTGAGAACTTGCCATGGGCCATGCAATGCAGCACATTTTTCGTATGCCTTACTTCATTTAATCCTCACAAGCCCAGTAGTTATATATCCACATTGTCTCCATTTTACAGATAAGGAAATTGAGGCTCAGAGAGGTTGCATAACTCTCCCAAGGTCTCTCCAGGCTCCCTTGAATGGCAGGCAAGCTAAAGAGTACAAATAAATGGCTTTTTAACTATTAGGGGTTTAGATTACTTTCTCTTCTATCACGTATGTTGCTCTGTAAACTGAACACTTACAAAATCTGAATGTGTTTTTCATGTTCATGTTTCCAAACCAGTCAATAGCTCTGTGGTGGGACATGTACTATTTTGGCATGTAAATGGTTTCATTAAGCGATAGCTCTTCTGTTAGTTTTATTTGTCATCCACAAAGTAAAAGAAATTAAAAAACCCTTGTGGTGAAGATCTATTGTTTTATCTACCCAGCACCCCTTTCTGCTGGGAATAGCGCACCTCTTCTTCCTGGGCCATTAATTGCTCCTTCCCCTCTCTGAGTGGTGGTGGAGGGCTGCCAATCATAATATCCCACCACAAATTCTGACATATAACCCAGGTTGGGCCAATCAGAGTCTTTCCCAGAGTTTTTCATCAGGGTGCAACAAGCAGAAAATGCTCTCTGTCTGCATGTTGGAACAGCTGTCAATGACTATCCCAGTTAGGAAGAGGTGGAGCCACAGGCATCAAAGGCTTGAAAACAGTATCTTAAACAAGACGGCATGTATTTACCTTGCAAGGACAACTCAAGTATTACTCAGTGCCTAACCATGTCCCCTCTCCCCTCAGCCACCAGGGACCTGCTAAGGCCACCCTACCGCAAGCACCTGTGACCCTCCACCTGAATGGAAGCACTGGGTAGTTGATATCCAGGGGAGCAGCTGTCAATCAATAGGGAATGGAAATTAGAGGATAAATACCTAAGCCTCATAAGCTGCAGTGGGGGTGGGGAGATCAGGTAATTCTGAGGCACGTTCCACACTGTCTCCCCAATGTCCCATTGGGATTGATGCCTACTTGTCCAAAGCAGTAACCTGCTCATTCCTTACCACCCTCTGTATTCTTTTGGGCCCTTCCCTCTCGCTTTCTTCTCCTCTTCCAGGGCTTCCTGGGATCACCTCCCAAATAAAGGACTTGTCCTTGACTCAAGGTCTGCTTCTGGGGGAGCCCAGCTTTAGATAACCTTGAAATCCTCCCTCATCCCAAAAGGAGAACTCTGGCACCTCAATTCTCCCATGACACTTTGTACCTCTAATACAATACACCATGGCCTAACTTGTATTTATTAAGTATGAAATCGGAATAAGTGTGTATTTATTGAGTACCAATTATGTACCAGGCACTGTACCAGGTGTCTTGTACCCATTCATTCATTTATTCACCAATTAATTCATTCAACAAATATTTATGAGCATTTACAATGTGCCAGGCAATGACTAGGCAGGAGTTGGCAAAACTATGACCCACAGGCCAAATTTGGCCTGCCACCTGTTTTTGTTAAGTTTTATTGGAACACAGCTATGCTCATTTGTTAACATATTTCTATT